AAAAAAAAAAAAAAAAAAAAAAAAAAAAAAAAAAAAAAAAAAAAAAAAAAAAAAAAAAAAAAAAAAAAAAAAAAAAACACATATTGTAGTGCATATTGCCACCTGTCCTGACCCTCAAAACAGGGTCTCTTGTAGCCCAGGTTGGTCTTGAACTCACTTTTTGTCTGACTCCTGCAGCACCTGAGCTTCCTGTCTTAGCCTTCCAAATGCTGTGATTACAGGCTTATGCCACTGTGCTTTCTTAATGTTGTATACTGTTAGTGAAAAAAATAAAATGAATGTATAATACTAAGGGTGTTAAATATTTAATCTGTATAAGTTTCTAAATAAAATCTTTTAAAATTTTTGATAAAGTATCAGAGATTCCTTCTGTAAACATAACATGTTTTAATATACAGTTTTATGACTGAAATGACTGTTCATTTTCTGTGAAAAACTATAATGATGATCTCTTCAAATTATTCATAGACATTATTGGTAAGTTCACACATGTAGTTAATAAAAATTTAAATAATTGTCATATTTCAAAATTTACAAGCCTAAATCATATTTGTCTCTTGTAGCTCATTCTTACCTTTGTCCAACCAGAAGACATAATGTGAAAATCTCTTGTGATAATATGACTGCATTAAAGCCCATTTAAACTTTATTATCAAGTATATATTGCAAAATAATTACAAATCTCTAATTTGCAGGGTAAGCTGCTTTATTGGAACAATAATTATGCAGCTAACTTAGACATAATGAAAACAGCACCTCAAACATAAACAAGGGGAAAATTAATGTAGAATTCTTATAAAAGAGAAGAAATTGAGAACTGAATCCATTTAAGAATATCTGTCATGTTCCCAGCCATACTTGAAGCTGCAAATACTTTTCCTTGGGTACCTGGCACAAAAGCTCATTGATCATAACACAGCAATATGCACACACTGGCTTCTGAAAATGATGTCCTGTTGGTATAATGCTCCTTAGCTTTGCTCAGGAAGTTCTTTATTATGCTTGCTACCCAGTGGGACCTTAGACCATACTAGGACAAGTCATCTTACCCTATGGGATGTTCTCTAAGAATCACTAGATGACACTGTTTCTGGCCAGAGGTGATTTACCTAGAAATACCAACCACTCCAGTTTTTTCTAGGCCATTCCTAAGGCTGAATAGATAACTATCTTGTAGTATGTCTATAATTCATATATTATATACCAAGTGAAGTGTGACTGTAGTTTATATAACTAAGCTTATTCAAAAAGAGAAAAACAAGGAATTTAGCCATGGACCTCAAACCACAGAGGCAGAAGCTCTGACTTGCTACTATTACTGTCTTCAAATTAATGAAAAATGCAGAACGACAAAAAACTACAAACTATTTTCAGCTATTTCTATAAAAAGAAAAGCTACTACCAAGATGAAGAAACCTTAATAGGACAGTAAAGCACATAAGTACCAAGAGACTATAAGAAGCAGTCAGGAGGTAGACAAGAAACTAGCTGCCAGGACAAATGAATAAGGTTTTCAGTCTCAGTATCAGAGAAACTGTTTTTAGAGCCGAGACAATAATAATTGGCACTTAACTACTAAAGAAATTGATACCAGGAATGGAATTCATCTCCTGTGCTTTTATTTGCATATATCTTATAAGGTAACAGTTGAAGTCTTTCCTGTTCCCTGAGTCTCAGGTACAGTTAGAATGCAGTCATTAGTGTGTCACTGGATCAGTGTGAAGCTGAATTAGATCAAGATGCTCAGATTATTTGTGAAATGGCATAGAACATGAGAACTGATGTAGTCCTGAAGCAAGATTGTGATGATACAGGTTGAGCATCCCTAATCTAAAATCAAAATCATTTCCAAATCCAATGTTTTTGATTTAACATGCTGTAACATGTGGGAAATTAAATATCACAAAGCTGTTTCATGTGCAAAATTATTAAAACTATAAATTTTATGACCTTTAAACTATGTATATAATATCTATATGAATTATAAATTAATTTCATGTTTAAACTTGAACCCTATCCCCAAGATTTTTCACTACAATTATCTATTTTAAAATCTGAAAAAAGGAGATATGAGAAATATTTTTGGTTTCAATCACTTTGAATAAAGGATACTCAATGTGTATATTGTTAGCCCTGCCAAGTAAAAGCAAACAGCTCCTGGTATTCTTTATGAATTTATATAAGATGAAAGCATATACTAGGTCAATAGCTGTGTATCAGGTACCAGAAGATGGATTGACTTCCTCTAATAAAGGTCCTGTGTGTAGAAGAGCACATGTAAATGTAGAGTAACATCTGAGTGAATTTATGTTAATCCACCATCATTCTCCAAGATCTATTTTTCCTCACTGTCCAAAGAGACAAGTTAATTTGGCATGAGAGGGCATCCATCCATCAACCCACTTTCTTCAAATCTGTATTGCTATGATTAATCTCATTCTCTCACCCTAAGAAATGAATGTTTTTTTTCATTTTCTATCTTGGTGTGTGTGTTTCAACTTGGCCTTTCACACTATAATAATTCTTATCCAAAACCAGAGGGAAAATATGGTGGTTCTGCTAATTGCTAGTGTCTTTATTCTAATTACACATTTGAAAACTGATGAAATCTTCATATAATGGTTCTCTGGCCCCACTCAAACCACTGTGATTCAAATGGATTAAAGCTCCATCTCTTACTTGGTCAGTGCAAGACTCCACTTAAGCATGTAGACTGCAGAATACTTAGGGGTCCCCCAAACTAACATTAAAGCTTTCTGAAATGCCTAAAACAATAGGGAATTCCCTTTTTCCAGCACATAATTGTTTTGAATACGATCACCAGTCCCTATGGAAGGAATTTAGTTTTCAGATCCTCAGTTTATATTGGAGGCAGTGTTACAACAAATGAGTGTTTCTAAAGGAGATCTGACTCTTCCTGAGAGAGTGAGGGCTGGAGAGACATCATAGCAGTGAGGAGAACTTGCTCTTACTGAGCACCTGGGTTTGGTTCCCAGCACCCACATAGTAGCTTACAACCATCTGTAACTCCATTTCCTGGGGATCCAATACCCTTTTCTGATCTCCATGGGCACCAGACTTATCATGTGGTATACATATGTGCAGGTAGAACACTCATTACACAAAATAAGTCTAAAAGAGTGTTTAAGAGGGTGTAATATTATTCTGGATAAAGGAATATTTCTGGCACACACAAATAATGCAGGCCCTCCAACTAGCTAATGCATTTGTTGTTGTTTTGTGTTGTGTAACTATTTTCTCCAAATTGAAATATTCTCTTCTACAGAGAGGAGAGTCATAAGAGTTAAGAAGAAAAGACACAGGGCCGAGAAGGTACATGAACTTAAAATGTCTCAGGAAACCCTTGAATGTTACACAAGTCACAACTTAAAATGTCTCAGGAAACCCTTGAATGTTACACAAGTCACAAGGCTCCTCCTCAGGGTTATAAATGCTGGGAAGAAGAAAGTCTCTGATCAGCTGACCTGCCTTTAAGTTGTTCAGGGATGCAGCTTTTGTGAGTCATCACCCATGCTGCAGTGGGCTTTTTACTAAATAGATGTCGTTGAGTCACGCATGCTCTTGTATGTAATCCCTCACCCATACCTCTGTACACAACCCCAGCAAGCTCATTGTTTCACTAAACCTGATGTGTAGAATAGTTTCTATTATCAGTGCCCCATCTGGGGTGAATAGACATTTGTTCATGTCTCCCACAAAAATGTCACACA